AGTAGCAGTAGCAGTAGCAGTAGCAGTAGCAGTAGCAGTAGCAGTAGTAGTAGTAGCAGTAGCAGTAGCAGTAGCAGTAGCAGTAGCAGTAGTAGTAGTAGTAGTAGCAGCAGTAGTAGTACAAGGTCAGGTCTTTGGCAAACAAGGCAGCCAGGCAGCCGTTCCAATGAAGTTGGATGCCGAACGAAGAGAGGAGTTCCCAGGTGCACATTCATCGGCCCGTGGATGGGACTGATTAGCATCCCAGGCTGAAGCTCCTGGAGATGGATGTTGAAGATGGAAAGGATATGCATGGGTTTGTCCCATTACCTGTAAGAGTCAGTAATCATTTATCCACATTTATGATAATTATACCCTTGAATCTGAGAAGTAGAGCCCTTGCTAACCATCATCGTCCACTGCTAATACCCACGAAGGATACGTGACGTTCGACTCATGAAAGCCCCACGTTGCTCATCCAGCCCCCCCGTTTGACACCACGGGGTTCGTGAGTGAATCCATGATTCAAGAGACCTCAGGTTGATGCCTGGTCTAAACAAAGATAATATCAATTAAGGATGACATAATCAGACAAGAAACACCTCAACAAGCACTCACTCCCTAGGGATCCAGTCGTGCCTTCTCAGAAGGTTGGACTGAGGTGGGTGCCATCATCGAGTCCAGTCATACCTTCTGAGGTTCGGTACGACTGGATTCCTATAGGGATTGTTTAAACTTTCCACGGACGCTTGCGTCACTTTCCCTAAGTCTCCAAGTACCTCCTCAGAAGGTATTTAGACCCTCCAAACCCACCCCAAACATGTTCTCAGAAGGTACTTGGAGGCCGCTTTGTGTCCGTCAACGGACGCCCCAATCCCTTCCAGCCACACGCCACGGACGCCACGGACGCCACGGACGCGTCGTCCACAGGACGCGGGCGACGCCGTGGTCGACCTCTTGGCCTCCCGCTGCGACGCCACGGAGAAGCGCTCGGTGGACGAGGCCAGGAACGGCGGCGGTGAAGGTGGGGAGGAGAGGTCCGGGGGAGGCCGGAGCAGGAGGAAATGATAGAAATGTCTTATAACTATCCCAGACCATCTATGTCATGCAAGAGTTACTGTACTTATATATATATATATACCTTGTGCCACTTGTGCCTCCAAACAGGACAAAAACGTAGGGTTCATCCCAAAACACGAGGTTCTTGGAGGAAACACGAGGTTTCCCATTTTGGTGTTTTTTTCCGCCCATGCCATCTTCGAAGGCCGGGCCACAGGAACTTGAATTCAAACTCCAAAAGCCCAGGTTGATGATCAGAACGAAAAACATCTCAACCAAAAATGCAACTATTGTACCCCCCTAAAGCCCGTGAAAAAAAACACGGGTTGTCACGGTATAATCACGGGTTTGTCACGGGTTCGTCACGGGTTTGGGAAACACAATGTTTTTCTGAAAACCCGAGGTTTTTCATCCAAAATCATGGGTTGACACGGGATAATCACGGGTTTGACACGGGTTTGTCACGGGTTATCGGAGCTCTCAATCACGGACCCGAACTTTCCTGACAAGAGTGTTGAATGTTTTATAAACATATTGTGAAACATGTTTTGACCACGGAAAATTTGATAAGTCGGCGGGAGAAAATGAATATGGAGCACCTGCACATGGCTATCGAGGGTTTTGGGGCAAAACACGAGGATTTGGTTAAAAACCCGAGGTTTTCCCTTATGTCACGGCTAAACCCGAGGTTTGTTTTCAAACCCGACAAATTTGTAGGGTTCAGATGCTCAGGGTATATATATATATTTGGGTTATGAATCGGGTGTATGTATAACTATGCCAGTCCCATGGTTTTAGAATCATCCGAGATATGCCAGGGGACAATATGGGGGAATGGTCCAGCACTCTATCAGCATCTCGTGGTGCCCAATTCTGGGTACTTAAGTTCGTTGTCTTCCCAGGCTGGGCGTTAAGGATTGGCCAATTTTTGGTCACCAGGGTTTTGACCCGTACTGGTACCAGTACTCAAGATGCTTGACCAGTACTGGCACTAGTACCAGTACTATGGTACGGTACTTATGCTTTTTGTTTTTCAGTACTACAGATGGATGCCTCGTGCCTATGCCAGGATGACAATGGTCCCCTGGTCCCAGGCAAGTCTGGTCACTTATAGCAAGACGAAGCCGAAGCGCCGTCGACCGTTTCGAGCATGTTCTAAGCAACATTAAAGTTGCACAGCGCGGAATCCTTTGTTTGATGATTGGACCTTGCACGATGCCTGTACATGACCCAAGGAACATGATGATTGGGCATTGATGACCAGTATGATGACCACCTTCTTTCCTCTTTGCACCAAGGTGGCCATCGACATCACCGGCGCGGCCGAGCATCTGCTGGCCTCGCGCGCCGCGGCCGAGCTCGGCGCCGCCGCGTCGGCGGCGACGCACCTGGCAGACTCGGCGCTGAGCGTCGACGCGGCGAAGGTGACCCGAAGCTCGGCCCGGCAGGGGCATGACAAGCAGCAGAGCAGGTGCGGTGGGGTGGGGCAGTTGAGAGTTGATGCATGTCGCAGGGTGGGAGGGATGCTTTAAGAAGTATACATAGTGAATCTGATTGATTGGGAGAGCTTCGTAAGTTTTTGCTTGCTGAGTGTTGTGATGTGGGCAGGTGTTGCTTGCTGAGTCTATACAAGCTTGTGAACCGGTTGGATCCTGAATCATCTGAGCAACAAGCTTTCGCCAGGGACACCTCCGAGCTTGCTGATGGATGGGAGGAGATGATCTACATGTCAGCTGGGCTGGGCTGTTTAGCAGGCCTCCTTTGGAATTGAATTCCCATTGGCAACTGTTGTCCCTTGATGGAGGAACAAGGGGTGTCAAGCAACATGTTCCCCGAGATCCACTTTTGAGCGGTTTTCCCTTGTTTGAAGCTTTGCAAGGTTGCCTCGCAATCTTCACGCGCAGAAGTTCCAAATGGTGCCCATTTGCTCCCCCTGAGAGCTAGAAAATATGGCAACAAGGAGCGCAACACGGGGTGCATGTGCATCTTTTGTGGGGCTCCAGTATGCTCCAGTCCTTCATCTGAAGGGCCAGGGCGGGCATGCCAGGGGGGTGGTTCCTACCGAGTCGCCGGGTCCAGCGAGTCGCCTGACGATGAAGACCCGGATGAAGTCCAATGACTTGTTTTGTTCACTGAATGAAAGGAATCAAAGGAAGTTCCTCTTCTCTTCAGGGTCCAAAGACATCCCAAGATCATTGAAACCAAAAATGCGGGGACTCTGGAACGCCATCTCGCTGCGCTTGCGCGTGCCGGCGCGCGCCCTGACGGTGGAGGAGGTCTTGCGACGAGCTGCCTCCGATCCTGTGGCCTGGCGCCTCATCGCCGGCGCGGTGGTGGTGAAGGAGCTCCGGCAGCAGGTGCACGGTGAAAGGGCCCACGAAAGAGTGAGGAATGGCTGGGCCATGCCGGGCCTAGCTACCAGCACCCGACTTCACAGGTGCTTCCTGGTGACAACAGGTGCCCAGAAACCACCTGTTAGGGTCTCCAAACAGCCTGTTGGAGGGTCCTGGTAGTGATGACTATAGGGAGGATCCGAAGAAGAGCCCAACAGATGTAGCAGGGGCCAAGCTGGCCGGACAAATGCAAGCATCACGAATAGTGGTTGGGAGATCAGTTGGCCGGAAATCATCTCAGCTACAAGATACTCAACTTTGTTTAAGCAGAAGTCAAGTACCCAGAAACTCCAAACACCCCTTGGTCCCTCAAAACCTCGGGATTGGTGAGAAACCCCAGACCCCTGACCAGTTCGGATTCGGGTCCGACCCCTCCAAAGGATGGGTCATTGGTTCGACCCCAGACCCCTCCAGAGGATTCGGGTCCGACCCCTCCATATGAGAGTCCAGGGTTGCGTTTCAGATCCTCAAGCTTTTGCTGTCACGTCCGGACAGGTGGAGTCCACCTTGGGCTTCACATGCTCTGGAGGCGTAGCAACGAACAAGGTCCTGGCGAAGCAAGAGGACTCGGCGGGAAAGGACGGGACGTGCCGAGAAAGGCAGGATGGATGAGTGGTTCCCATATAATGATGGACGAGGATGGATGGATGGGTATATAGTTTGGTGTTGCAGTGACCTTCCAACTGATTTAAAGACTCCTTCTGGCCCTTCGTAGTGTCTCAAAATAGGGGTGTTCCCCACGACCCCAAACAACGGGAAGATCCATGAGTTCACAGACTTTCACACCGTGATTTGAGAGTCCAACAAAGAGACAGAGCATGGTAGGTGCTGTCGGTTGTTCTCAAGGACTTGAGGATCTGCAGAGCCTCAAACTCTTCGTGGGCTGGTTTCTAGAGGAAGTGGACCTTGGCGAGCCGACAGTCGAACTCCCTGAAAAAAAAGAAAACACAGTATGTTTACGGCAACTCTTCCAGGCAAAAATCCATGTTCAATGAATCTGCTTGTAAGTACTTATTGCAGCACTCTTGACAACTCCCTGCCACTGTTTTCTCCCACATCCAGAAGTCCTGAGTCTGCCACCTTCAAATTACTAGACCCCCAACAAAACCACCCCAACCACCCGGTCAGGAGGTAGTTGAAGCCCAAATGTGACATATTGGTGTTTGGGGACCGCAAGCCGCCTTTTTCATCCCCATTTGGCACCAACCCAGGCTGGGCTGTGGACTGCACAAACCCAACCAACAGGCGCGGGATGCGTTGCTGGGTCGCTGGCAAGACCTGAAGGCGAGAGAGACACAGAGATAATATATATAGAGAGAGAGAGAGCGCCCCATGTGGCGTACGCCAGTTGACATGCCATATAGAATTTAGATGAATTTAGCTATTATTTTTGACCTCTGCTCTAGAGATGCGCGATCTCTGGCAGGCCGAAGATCTGAGTTTGCTCGGAAGATACATCGCGGGGCGCGCTACGTCCGCCCAGTCGAAACTCCTGCGTCGGCTGCGGTGCAGCGATGCCTCCTGCGGAGGAGCTCAGGATGATGTGGGAGAAAAGGGTTCAGCTGCTTTCTTGTCTCGAGACTGCGGCCAAGACGGAGCGCTACACTGAATTTCCTCATAGCAGCAGTGGCATCACAACCGGAACTGCAAGCGGCATATGTCGGAACCATTCAAGCCGCTGAGAGAACCGAGCTACTTTGACCAAGAGTCTAGGCAGTGGGTCAAGAGAGACCATTGGGCTGCACTGACACAGAGCTATGGAGCAGCCGCACGGACCAAGAGTCTAGGCAGCAGCCCCAGAGGCAGACCAGCCCAGACCATTCATGCCGCCCAAGTGTGTTGGGCAGCACATTTGTGCATGTCCCTCAGCTGCGGGGTACGTTGCAGGACTCGAGTCTGTAGAGGCGGTGGTGTTCGAATGGTACTTCGGAATGCGGGGCTGTCTCATACCGGCCCTTATATATATATATATGATCAGGGCTCGGTCGGAAACGCACAGAATCATTGAAATGGCACAAGCGCCCAACTGCCAAGTCCCTATTGAGGAAGTACTACAACAGTTCAAGGACCGCTGTGTCACTTCCTTTCGCCCCTGGGGCGCACGCGGAAAACAACAAACATTGCAGTCAAAGCACACAGTATGCAACTGACTCCACCAGTCCCCTTTGCGGTTTGTTGGATAGTCAGACAGAATAGCATGTTCAGAATCGCAGATGCACTTTGCTATGGATTTGATCCACTCAATGGTCAAAGGCACTGTTTAAAAAGAGGCTAGAGGTGGGATCGGAGCAATGGATTCGCTATGATTAGATTTTTGGAAGGAAAAACATGAAACAACAAGCTGACGTGAATCGCAGTTGGGAACGGGTGTGAGAATTCCAATATACAAGTATTTACTATAAATTCCGGGACACAGCAGCCCACAGCGCAGTGAGAAGTGAACGCAACATTGAATCACAAACGATGCGGGAGGCTCACACACTGACCAACATGGACGACATTATCAATTGTGCAGAATTGCCTCAGACTATGGACACGAGCCATTCAGCGCATCTGAAGAAAGTGCCAGAGAGACCCCATTGGCCAGCTATTTGGTCCAATAGTGAGGAGAAGAGATATACATCGAGGTTCATTGAGGATTGATTAGGAGGTCTCACAGTTTTGCCACAGGTTGACATGCCAAGGTTGGCATGAGAGCTGAGTGAAACTTGGAGAATTCCCAGGGGCCCTTCATTCGTGACCATGTAAAGGCTCAAAACAATGACCTGCATCAGAAGTTCTGCTTGGTGACACATATTGTTGTCGTCGTGATTCTTCTTCTTCTTGTCGTTGTTTCTCTATTGCAAGCCCGCACCACGAGCCACTAGTTTGACCTGTGTACTCTCCAAACAGTGAACGCAGCGAAATGACTTGGGGTTCCCTCGAGTGTGGATTTTGCTACATTACGATCAGTATGGGAACTGTCGCACTGTAGCACCAGTTCAATTTTGGCAAGCCACCCAGAGGGACACTTCAGCAAACTATGGGGCGCTTTACCACAAAAAAATGAAATTGAAGTTCCCTGCGAGGCAGGCTTATCGCCTAGTTCTTGGACTTATCCAAAAATGTGTTGTGCACCTCAAGACTGTTGACATACGATTGAACTTCTGGTTGTTTCTGTGGTGCTTAATGACAGTTGTCCTAACCCAGACACGGCTAATTGGACTGCCATATATGCCTATATTGGGGTGTTTTTTTGGGGTCAATTGATCGGCATATATGGCAGTCCCATTAGTCGCGTCTGGGTAATGGAAGCTGAGTGCATTCCACGCACGTCTGGGCCCCTGGGCTATGGAAAAAGTACTGGAGAAACGTGCGGATGCCACTGCCACCTGCCACTGCGCGTGCCAGACCCTTTTGCTGCCACATGCCGCCCCCGTGTTGTTGAAGGTGCGGACGAGCGGGCGGGGACTGCCAGGGCTGCGGGACTGTGGGTTCCAAAGCGTGACCAAAACCTTTGCGGGGACAGATTTGTCGTTGTCACTTGCTTTTGTTCAAAGGGGCTTGGACCAGGCAGAGGGCTTGATGTCGTGCAGGGCGGTTGGGAGCGATTGATCCATTTGAGACCTCCATTGGGCTGGTCACCGCCATGCTCCGCATCAATCGCAGGATCTGCCGCTGGATCGCCTTCCTGGTCTGGGCGGTGACTTTGGTCAAGCCGTCAAAAGCCGCCACTTTGCAGACTTTGCAGCTTGCTGGGTGGTCGGGTTGGGCAGCGGCAGCTTGGTGGGAAGGAACCACAGATATGAAAGGTTCCTAGAATCTGTTGAAACATGTTGAAACCTCATGTTGTCTTCTCATGTTGATCTCATGTTGTGTCCTAAAGACTCCATGGGACTGGAAGATATGCCGCCTGAGAAAGACCCCTGATGGCCACTGATCCGTTGCCAGTGCTATTGGTGGTATAGCCTTGGTGAAGTTTGCTCCAGCCTTCCATGTTCAACAGCGAGTACTTCTGCAAGAACGGAGACCTCTCCAAAGCTGTTGAGTCCGCAGGTCAGACACTGGCGGTTTCACCGTTCTAGCCCCTATCACCTTGATTTGAAGCCTTGAGTGGGGTGGAAACCAGCGAGCCAAGCCAAGCCCGTCAAGGGCGAACGAGGCGAGCCAAGCACTCCAAGTCTTTCCAACCAGTTCCCAACGCTTTCAATATGGCCTACAGCAAAATAAAAGTGTGTCAGAACAAATAGGAAGACCTCTCAGCTGGACCTGGAAGACAAAACATCTAGTCTGACTACCCAAACCGGGCCAATCCGGTTGCGGGTCCCCCTATATCAAAACTACAGACCCATATGGCCGTATACAGCTTGTCACATCGCGTCCTGAGACGAGTCGCCTGGGAAAATCGACCCGACCCTTCGCTGAGGGAGACAACGGATGCACAGCAGGGCGAGCGGTCCTAGCGGTCCCAACGGTTGGCTTCCGTCAAAGTCTTCGGGACACCCGACTCAACATGACTCAACAAGAAGAAGCGGACAGATCGATTGTTTATGTGTATTTTTACTGAGGGGTCAGTCTATGCTGATATGCTCCTCGATATTTTTAGGAGCCATACGTACCAAAGAGTCTTGGCTTTTAAAGTGGAGAATGATCTAGATCCATCTGTGGGTTTGCCAAGAGGATTGGATTGAGTACCTTTACATTTCATCCAGGAGTTCTATGGTGGATCGTTAAGTGTAGACGTTTGATTAGTAACAGCACCCGGTTGGATTTTGAAACCTCTTCATGGCATATGAGAGGGTTGAAGTATCATCAAGAGAGTTCCAAACGACCCAAACGAGCTGGCTGACTGACCCTTGTCCCAGGTTTCGGCGTCCAATCGGCGGGCGAGCTCTTACAGGTACGGACACTGATGTGAGACGGGTTTCCATGATTTGGAGGGGATATGACGAACTGACAGGCCTTCAACGACGTCTCCAACTACCTCCAAGGTGTTTTTTGGTGGATCCTATAAGTGGAGGGTTTGTCTCTACCTCCTGAGCACTTCTGACGATGTGGTTGAGGCCCTACTAGTAGGGTTTAGAAGAGTGAATCTTTTGACAATCGTCCTGAGAGAACATGGCGCCGTACATCCTGAGACAGGTTGTCCAGTGAGGGACCCCCCAAATTCATTTGAGCACATATTGTTGTCATATACAGTATTGATTATAGCTAGGATTCAAATCTGGCGTTGCTGGCAGGATTTGGGAAAATATTCTCAAGTCTTTGATGCAGGCAGAGATTGATCCCCAATCAACCCGTTATGGCCAACGCCCACACTAACCAGGGTGGATTCCAGGGTGGTCCTGGAGGTGGAGGGGCCAGGGGTAGTCTACAAGTGGATTACCTTTGGTGGACCCGTTCTTTTGCAACCAAAAGTTCTGCAAACCTTCTCAGGTGACCAATGTTTAGAGATGCTGGATGGGGCGGTTTGTCCGGTTTGTCCCTGGCTTCTCAGTACGTGCCTCACCTTGGGGGTTGGCAGCAGCCAGCGTCACCTCCGCGCCAGGTGCCGCGGCCAGACGTGCTGAAGCAGTTTCCTCAGCGAGGCAGGGCCAATCCGAAGAAGGATCTCAGAGTAGACGATGCAGGGTAGAAGGCCCAGGACCAGTGATCGATAAGAAGGATGAACACTCCATAGTAGGATCGAAGGCCACTCTCCCAGGACGGACGAAGGCGGATCCCTGGACTTCGAAGGTACCCAGGTTCCGGTCCGAAGGTCCCATTTGGGGGGGGGGCCCGAAGGCACCTGAAGGCACCGAGGAGTTGTTGTTGTTTTTTTGCGTTTTGTGTGTGAACGACTGTACGGTGACCAAGAGAAAAAAGCAGGATGAAGGTCTTGACCGAGTACTGGACAGGTTCTTCAAGAGGATCCTTTAGTGGACAGAGAATAGCTTCACTGTACTGCACATCATCAGGCTTGCATGGGCACTTCGGTGTGCAGGAGGGATTCAGACTACAGACACGGGGAAGCCTTGTCACTGTTCATTGCCACGTTGCTCGTTGCTGGACTCCACCAGATTTCTGTTGGCTTGAGATCACTCACAGACGCGCGACGGAAGATTTCCTGGGTACTCAGAACACTCGGAGAAGAGAGAGATACTTGGGAAACCATTGGATACCTGTCTGGACACCTATCTTCCACTGTACACCAGGGGATTACCGCCAGATCACTCCTATACCAGATCATGATGGATGGAATCTGGAGTTCAAACTAGCTCAACTCTGACTTGTGCCATTCGGACTTGTTGGTGCCTTCTCCCATCGCCCCCATCCAATCCCATCGCTCCACACCGCCGACATCCCGCTGGCCGAGGCGAGTGGCTGTTGGCGCTGGCGGCGGGCGATGACTCGGCGGCGGAGGCGGTGAAGGCGCCAGCGGGTGAGGCCTGAGGCGGTAGAGTCTCCAGAGGGAAAGTGTCTCTCTCCACTATCTTTTCATGAATAAAATTAATTAATGATGGATGAAGAGACAAGGAAAGCAACAACACCAATAAAAATAATTCCCAAGGATCAAATACTTCAGAGATGAGGATGGCGTTCAAAGCGACAAAGCGACCCTGTTCAGCCTGGATGGCTATCTGGACGGCTCTCCCAAACACCACCAAAACAGGGGTTTGGGAACTACCCGTAACAATAGAGAGCCGTAAGGGTGGAGGGTGGAAAGGCGACGCTACTTGGCTCTCAAGAGATTTTGTCGTGTCGCGTAAACGAGGATATGTCATCTTTGGTCTCTAGAGCTCTTGGCCCAGCTTGACCCTGGCTTTGCTGGATCATCCATCTTGGATATCTCTTGGCACAGCCATCGACCCTTTTTGTGCTAGAGGAACCCCGTTTTGGCACTACAAGCCGGCTTTGGACTCTACAAGCCAGCTGCACCAGCCGTGCTACAAGAGGGTTGATGGATGATCCAATTGGGACGGTTCCATGAGCCGTCCATGGCGGTGCATGGTGAGCCGCGGTCGACGGCTGGAAATGGTGATGAGATCGGAGGAGAACCTCAACCAGGAGGACCTGAATGTGTTGAGGACCTCAACAAGTCCTCAACACATTCAGGTCCTTCACCTGAAGTTGTGAATTTGAAGGGATCTTAACAAAAAGAAAAGATTCCGCCTGACAGAACCAGCAGGAAATTAAGATCGAAATGCAGCCAACCAGCATCAGCCAGCACCTGCATTTTTCAGTCAAAGCCTCCAGAAGAGACACTCTTGGAGGTTGCTGGTACAGGTTTGTTTGCAAGATGACTCTCTCCAACCTCTACATGTGATAGAATGGTCAGGGACCAAAGTCTGTGTCCAAAGCATAGGTGTCCTGGAAGACAAGTGTGCCTGCAATCCGTTTGAACATGTGTGCAATCGGTCGAGACTCGAATCTCCGTTTGAACTGGTGCAGTTTTTTTTGTGCAAACCAGTATATAGGAGAAAACCATGTCACTCAATCAATATGTCACTCAGTGTATGCTTTCCATCTCAGGTTGTGTTGACAATGTCGTCACAATCAACCCTAGATGCCCTAGATTCCTAGATTCTGTGTTTATGCTCATGCGCAACAACCTCAAAGACAATATCAATCGCCCCTCAACACTGTTACGTCACTAATTGTTCAATCCATCTTCACAGTGGATGAAGTTTTATGATTGAGTTTATATTGGCTGTGTGGGTGCTTGACGCTTCACCGTCCAAGTTGAAATCCAACTGCCTCGCCAGGACAGGCAACTGGTGAAGAGCCTCTCCAATGGCAAGACCTTCTTCGGCGAGAAGCGGCTGAGATCATTGGAAGAGGCCCACCATGACATCCATGGCAGCAGGTCCTACGTACAAAAATGATGTACATGAAAAAAAACATAGCTGATCTAGACCACATATTTGCAATCTGACCCCACTGCAATCTGAGCGCCAGTGAACATGAGAACACCATCAGCTCCGCTCACGTCAACTCAAGAGACACCACCTCGTGCAGATGGGGAGAAGGAGGTTCCAACATCGTCTTAGTTCTCAGCATTTGGTCCCCAGCAAAGCTGAACAAAACAAAGAAACCGAGTTAAAAACCACCTCAGACTTCCAATCCACTGTCCCAAATAGCTAAAGCCATTTGACCTGAGCACTGGTCAGGTGGACTATTGGCTGGGCGAACTCACCGGCGAGCTCCATCGCCGCTACCTTCAGCAGGCGCTCCCCGGACCGGCCCGATCGAGGTCGACACAGCGGCGACGAGGAGAGAGTGGGAGGAAGAGCGACCAAGTGACATGCCCAGTTACACTGACGCCAAGTGGAACAAGCAATTGAAACAAACATGATGGTATTTAGTTGCTTGGAAGCAAGTGAAGAGTGTTTCTTGGAGATCTTGAGAGTTGTGGAGAACAAATATGATAGATCATTTGTGGAGCGGACTGAGCGGTGAAGCACAGGACTGAGCGGTGAAGCACCTGTTGCGTTGTTCATGGTCGGGCGCAGGTGGAGAAGCACCAGCGGACGCCCAGTACCTTGCAGGTCTCATTGACCTTGGACCAGAAGGAGATGAAACATGATGAATCATATGGGTTGATCCGCAGGAGGGGTTTGTGTGGGTGTGTGTAGAGCATAGGCATCAAAACCATCTCAATTGGCTCAACTGCAGAGTACGACGTCCTCCCAAAAAGCCGCAGAGTACGGGTGCTCGTTGGTCGGGTCCGAAAGACCTATCCGGGATAGGTGGACCGTTGGATCCCAAGTCTTTCCGAGCCACTCTTGAGAGCTAAGCTGATGGTATGAGAGCTAAGCTACATGCCGGTTGCAGGCTTCAGGCACATGTGCCATTCCCAGAGTAGCGAGTCAATGGGCGATAGTACAGACCAAGCGAGGCGTTGGTTTCGGCCGACGGCATCTTCACTCCTAGGAGCATTTGACGCGCCAGCAGCCCATCCAGCTGGGCAGCCAAGGGACACCGGAGCAAATCCTACAGACCGCCAAGGCCACAAGCTCCGCCCTCCGCGGGGCGGGCGGCCACCTCTCGCAGGGATGTGGGGTGGGTCTGTTGAAAGATGGGTCCGATACCTGGATCCAGGAGAATCATGAAAACCGACCCTAAGCTGGTAACCGTTGGTCACCAGTGGTTACAAAGACAGAAGAGCTAGACCGCATATATAAGTTCGAGGAATTTTGTGAAGATGGGTGTATAGGCTTGGACTTGCTGAGAGCTTGAAAGCAGAACTATTTGGGCAACAACACATGCTCCTTTCTTGCCGTGACTCGATGAGGATATATTTGTTTAGCACTGTGTCAGTTGATTTCATATAGACTTCAGAATGTATATTAATTCCATTATATTCCTACTAATTAGAGGTCACACTTTCAGGTTGTTGATGAGCAGCTTTCCATAACATCCAAAGAGGAGTTCAAGAATCATGCTTCACACGGCGATAGTCACTGCAATCACTGTAGTCTTGCAATCAACGAATCAAGAGAACGGTAGCAAGCCTATGTGGTCGCTGCTCGAGAAACATCACAAAATTATCGGAAGCAGGAGGGACAGTAGGTTAGGTATATAAGTAATATGAGTGGTTTCAAACACAGAAAAACCCTTCTAAGACCACAACAAAGGTCTTCATGGGGCTACTCCCTCCCTCCACCCACCGTGGTGAGCCCGTTTAGCCTCGTCGCCAGGCCTGCGCGCGCCGCG